TTTATCTGTAAGTGGTGGTATGGATGACTTGGTGAAGTTAGATCCAACAGCTTTTGCAAGAGACCAAAAAGACCTAGAACTACTTGGATAATTCAGCAACCTGTTTTTTATTCTTTGATTGTATGTTTCTTTAGCGGAGTCAATAGTAATTTTGCAACTATTTCTGGCTTCTATAAATTCTGTGTGGTTTTGAGCGGTTTGTTGTCGTTTCCAAAGGTTATATGCTCTGTGTTTTTTCTGTACAGCCGTTTGACACTGGCTGTTGAAACAAGGTTTTGCATTAGCTCTACGTTTAGTTGTATGTGGGATATATGCGTCCATTCCAGATAAGATTACTTGTGTTATTTCATTACAGCAAATAGTGGGATCAGCTGTTTTAAAGCAAACCTCTTGCCATGGAAAATCCAGGTAATACTGTTTTAGGTCATTCCATTTTGCCGATTTATAGTGCCACATTTTACGAGGAAGTGGTTGTAGGCTTGGTGGGATGAGCATTTCGCACTTTGTTATTATAAGTTTATGATCGGACGAACCAAGTGGAGCATCTACTTGAATTGTGTACGAGTCAGGATTGGTGGTTAGGAACAAGTCTAAAAGCGCTGCAAATTCGCCCCTTTCTGAGATACGGGTAGGTTCATCGACAAGCTGCGTTAGACCACAACTTATGGCAAAAGCTTCTGCTTCTCTGCCTTCGTTATCTGTTTTGTTGTGGTGTTTCAGCCAGGGTATATTGTGGACGTTGAAATCGCCTAAAAAGACAATTTCCGCCTGTGGATAATTTGACTGTATACTATCACAGCTTTCGGATAATGTCGCGAAAAAGTTTTGGTAATCGGTGTTACTTGGCGGTCGGTAGAGGCAGCAGATAAACTTGGTCGATGACTTTGAGGTGAATTTTAGCCATATGATATCAAGGTTCGCTGGTTCTAGCTTCTCCTCTCGATGACATGAAAGGTAATTTTTAATGTACACACAGATCCCAAAATTATGTCGAAATCGGTGATGTAGGTCATAGCCGGGATAAAGATAGTTCACAATAGGTGTTGCAGAACTGATTTTAGTTTCAGTGAGAACAAGGATGTCAGGTCTTTGTTCTTCAAGATGTTGGTGAACTGAATTCATATTTGTACTTATTCCTCTTATATTGCTAAAATCAATTCTGAGTTGAGTTTTTGATCTTGTCTTTATATCTTTGCATGAAGGACCCCCAGGATCACCCGACGCCCGGAGATCCGAGTGGTCGGGTATTTTACCTCCGGAATATTTTGATCCTGGAGGCGCCATCATGCTATCTGTTACTCATTGTTGGAACCGGACTGCCAGCGCAGTAGCGGAACGTGGTGATACCACTTTGCGCTACTCAATTCTGGCATGGTGGTATCTCACCGGTCGACGCCCAATGAGTAAAAAGCGTCTACCACCTAATACGGGATAAAATGTTGTATACATCACGTGAGTTAAAATGTTTATTCATTCGAAGAAAATTAACCCACTCGCTAGGGCTCGTGGGTTAAACTTTCTTCTCATGAATAAACATTCATTTAACTCACTTGGTGTATAAATAACTATTTGTTGTCTGATTTTCTAATTTTTTCCCTCTAATTTTTTTTATGAGTTTTTAAAAAAATTTCGCCCCCCTTGACTTTTCGCTCCTGGGCGATCGCCCAATTGCGCCTTATGGTTAATCCGGCCCTGGTCCGGTGAGAATGCGCAGGTCTTTTCTGCTCCATTCCAGGATCTGCTTTATGTAGTTTCTAGAGAGTTTTTTCATGGACCTTAGAGTGGGTAAGACCATCAGCGCTATTCCAGTAAGATCGAATCTATAGTATCCTTAGCATTTGATTTTGTGATGCCTAGAACTGGTTCCGGTCCTTTTCTAGCAAGGGCGTCGGCATTTCCATTGCCTGCCACCACCTGATGTCCTGGCACCACCCAGAGTAGGGTTACTCTGTTATTGGTGCCTAACACTGTAATGGGACTCGATGCAGTTTCTCACCAGTTTTGAGGTAATCCGGTAGGAGCCAAGGGCTTTTAGCAGCGCTGGCTATCTGACAGAATATACAGTGTGTTTCAAAAGTCTGGGAATGGTCAAATATTTTCAGTGCGGTTTGGAATAGAAATTTTCTGCATATGGGTAATTATAATGATGCCCGATTCATGATGACATCGACGACAATGTTGCCAAGTTCACCATTTTTCAGATAATGTATGTAACTTCGTTTGTTTTTTAAATAGGAATAGCACTTTATTTTCATTCCAATAAATTCGACGTTCTATTGTTAGTCAAACCTCCAGTAATCATATCCCTATTTAACGTGGTTTCTGGAACATGGCAGCACAGCCTTTCTGTTAAAAGGTCTGGTAATAGTCAAATAATTACCACAACGGTCTGAAATTATGAATACGAAATTGAATCGGGCATCAATAATTACTCCTCTGCAAAAAATTTCATAATTCTATTTTAAGCCGCTCTGGAAATATTTGACCGTTCCCAGACTTTTGAAACATACTGTACAATATATGTTTTGTTTGTGATAAAGCGATCAATTAGCTCTGGCACACAAAACAAGGGCACAAACTTCTGCCTGGTAAATAGTAGCATACCTCCCGAGGTTGATTGACACTTTAAACCTCGGTCTCCCGCTAGAGACTCCAGCTCCAACACCATTGAAGTTTCTGGAGCCATCTGCGTATAAGACAATGCTTGCCTGTGAAAAGGAGATTTTACCCTCTATCCATTCGTCTCTCTCTGGAAAGATTATTTTAAAAGGCTTGTGCATGCCCTTTACCGTGGGAATGGCGTCTGAGATCATGTTCAGGATGTGGGGATTTTTAAGCTCACGCAGCAAACCCGCGTGATCCTAGACCCTTTCACCATTTGTCTGGTTTTCCAATGGCAAAAGTGGCACTAGTACGGTACGAGAGTCTGGGAAACAGACAGACGGAGCTCGTAATAAGTGCTAGTCTTTGCATGTTGGTATTTTAAACAAAAACAGATCTAACCCAAACTAACCGAGCCCGGGTCTTATTGGCTCCAAAAACCGTGCGTATCCTAACTGGGCCACACCATACCTGTGAAAGTAAACATATAAATCCAAGGAATAAAGTGCGCAAAACATTACCTTACCGGTGGGTAACATTCCTCGCCTACCACTCCAAACAAATGTGTAGAGGGGGTATATTAAGGATAGTCTCCATCGCGAGCGTCGGCGTAGTTGACATGGCGACAGTCCCTGAAACTCAGTTAACTTCGCTCCTGCCGTTGTCTGGATGGGTTTGATACACCAGACCACCGCTCCATACATGACCATTGGTTTCATGACTGTTTCATAAATCCAGTGGATGTTTGGGGACCATGCCATGGTTTATGAAGCTTGTCTAGCTTTCTCCTTTCAGTAAAAGGAATTACTACTGTTTTGCGAGGGTTTACAGACAATTGTTCCAGCTCACACCAGTTCGTAACAGTGTTTAGAGCGGTCTGCATAATACCGGAAATGATTTCCATAAGACTGTAAAACAAACTCTTCAAGGGAGAGGTCAACCAGCAGAGGGTCAACCAAGAGGGATCTGTTTGGGAACCATGCCATGGTTTACGAAGCTTTCTCCTCTAGGAATTAGTTTTGTTTTTCAGCGTGTTTCTGATCCAGTTGCAGATGATTCTGTGGAACCCCCTACGCTCAATTTAGTTATCGAGGTAGCGCAATGTCGAGAAAGGCTGCCAAAGCAATTTTTCCCTGATTAAGGGAATCATTCCATCAATTCCAAACTGAGGAAAACCACCTAATTAAAATATTATTTCTTCAAATCATAACTTTTCAAAAAAACGTTTACTGAATAAAAATAAATGTTGCAACTATGTATGTGCCTTCAAGTTTAGGATTGAACGAGCGCGCCACAGAAAACGAAGGTACCGAAACCGAACGGGAGCTAGAGAAGAGGCGATTAGGCATTAAAGAGACGGGAGAACAAGCTGGGGCTGTTCCTTTAGATGCGTGTCTGCAATTATCCATTATTCAATTTTCATTTCTATTTTGCATTAAAATTGATTGTTCAATCCAATTTGTTATTAGTGTGTGTAAGGAGCGTTTACAGGTTAGTAGATTAAATATTATTTTGTTTTTGAGAGTTCAATTTATGCAAGTTCCTATTATTTTGTTCATTTTTATGTATTTTTTGTTTGTTTATAATATTTTTTATAACATGTGCATTGTTCATGTATTTAACAAAAATCGTTTCATACTGTAAACAACACAGATAAAGAAGTAAATTAGAACCTAAGAAATTATGTGCTGTCTTTTTGTGCTGGGATTTTGATTTTGTGGATTTAGAGCGTGCATTAGAGCCTTGTTAAATTTACTAACATTTTCCTAACCTGACGAGAGAATATCCTAACAAATTGAAATAATCAATCTAGAGATATTGGCTCAAAAACAACTATAGCTGAGTAGCTTTCCGTATGGGACCTCAGTATCCGCTGGGAAACTGGCTAACTAACAAAAAAACTCGTCAGTATTGAATATAGGTAGTGTTAATTAAATGTAGTGTGTGTAATTGAATTTTTAGCGCAAGAACAGGGGCGGTACCTAATTTAAACTTTTATTGACTTAAATTATTGACTCACAATTATTATTAAATTGACACAGTATGTTTCGATTTTTGAGGAATATTAGATCGAGGTTTTCTCTGCCGTTCTCTTTCCCCTCGAGAATTCCAGGTCGAGAACGGTACGATTTTCTTTAATAATAAAGTAGACGTTTCACAAATTTTTCATTTCTTTTATATATCACAACTTCCCTTAAATTTCCCAAATATTTGCTATGCCTTGCGCATGTCCAGGAAGTAAAATTGAGTAAGCTTCTACAACGTAGGTCCTATTTTTTTCTTCAATTCGTTTTTCAGAAGATTTGTTGTTTACAGGTAATAAAAATTCTCATCGTTCAATCTTACTGAACGAACCCGGGTATGTTATAATACAAAACAAAATATTAATTTTAAATTTTATTTACAAAAATATAAAAATTATAAAAATACAATATATAGTTTGTGCTGAAATAACGGGTAGGTACCTATTTATTCAATAAAATCAGATTATTTTTTGAATTCCAGCAAACAGGCACCTTCTTCTAGGTAAAGCATCTATGTCCAGTTTTCGTCACCCTCAGGACAATAGATCTGCTCGAGTCTAGAAGAATTCCTCAATTTTTCCAACATTCATTTTCTATTGAACAGAAGTAGTGCGCGATGTCATTTATATAAAATCCCCCTTTCCAAACCATCTATACCTAGAAAGGTATTTATATAATCAAATTCATGTTGCCTTCATTATGCTCACTGGATGAGCCGGAATGTTGAAAAATCCTGAAAGGAAATTTTTTATTTTTAACTTTTTCTGGATTACTATTTAATAAATGCAATAAATTGATGAGGTAAGTGGTTTGTCTCAGGTCACTTTCAAGGGCACAAGCTGCACTCATCAGAGAGTCAATTTTCTTTTCATCAGCCTGAAATAATAAAGTAAATACACAAATTATTGAATACAAATCTTAATTGAAATACCTCAAAACTCTTTTTTATATCAATCAATTGCTGATGCATTTCAGCTTTTTCTTGAACGAAATATTCAATACTTTTATCAATTTCGTCACTTAATCCTATGCTACTTAGTATATCTGATCTGTTAGGAATGTCTAGAACATGTCTTTTTTCTCCTTTATTAGCGTCCTTACTTAAAATACTACTATGTATACTATTGCCCAAATCACTGGTTTCTACATATCCTGTACCTATAGTGTTAAATTCATTTATAGAGTTGTTCAGTTCAGACATATCACCCAAATTACTATCCAAATCAGTATTAATCAATTCCATCATAAGTGACAACATGTTATCTTCTTTAGTGGCGTGATAAGTTCGTATTTCGGAAGCTATTTGTTTATCAAGATCGACTGCGCTACCGCTCAATTGAAAGTTGATTTTTGGAAGATGTTCCCCGAAAGGTGATTCTCTAAGAAAATATTTTGAATTGGTCGTTTTAAAATTTATAGTTTTCATAACGTCTTCTGTAGTTTCCTTGTCATTCAGTCTACTGTATCTGGTATAACTGATGACACTTAACAAAGCTTTGCTTTCTGGGTTTACAGGATTGATTAGGGACATCATATCCTCTTTGGCTGGAATTTGACAGGTTTTTACTAATTTGGTAAAGTTCGATTCGGGGTTCTCGATGAAACCTTCAACGGTATTCAGTGAAACTTTGTAGTTGGTTGGGATTTCTTCGTCGATGTTTAGTTCAATTTTCTGGATTTTAGTTGGATCTGGACTCTGAAATAAATAAATCAACATAATTAAAAAATAGAATTTTGATTTTTATGGGCATAAGCTAAGACGGTCAAGCATTGAAGCCAATTTGAACGCGTGAGAGATTTTTGCGAAAATTTCAATATTCAGTATAACAATAAACTGTGCGGCAAAGCATCATTATTTTTCTTTCAACTTACAAATTCGCATATCTCTACTAACGACTCGTGTGACGAATCACTAAATGTTGATTTTGCATAATATTCCTAAAATCAAACACTATATCAGAAAAGGGAATATCTTATCTTATAAATGGTCTAAAAGATGGCAAACTTTTTTTTTTCTGGAATAAACCAATTTGTTATGTTCTAGGATCAATTTCCTTGTCATTAGATGGATTGTACCGTCAGCTGGGTAATTACCGGGCAGGCGATAATAAAAAGAGCCTTACGGTAATTATGAATAAAAAATTATGTACGTTTTTACCATAACTTTTGTCATTATAGGTAGGTACATAGTATTTTATAATCCACGCCAACCGATGCGCAGAGCTCGTAATTGAGCATAACCCATAACCTACCGAGTTAGTTAATTTTTTTCCAGTACATACAGATTCTTACTACTGTCATTTGCAGTTGCACCATGACTCGTGACTACCTCAGTGTTCTGCCAGCTGACTGTCCATTTCGTTTTGAAGGCGAGAAAATTGATCTCCTGGTCAAAATTTGATTCATTTGCTGATCAATAGGCATATGCTAGTTATAATAGTGTAAATTATACAATTTTGCTATCATCGAGATGAGAAAAAACGTCTGTTGTAACCCATAACTGATTGGCAAGGGTAGAAAAATATGAAAGATGATTACCTTCATAAAACGAACAATGCTCAGACACCCACTTTTTTTCAAAAATTTGTTGTCTCCGCTGTTTGGAATGCACCAACCATCAAAGATTAACAAAAATGACGTCATAGCAAATGGGTATAATTTACACTATAGGTGGCTTCGAGGGCGCCTTATCAAAATCACCGTTTCCTGGCGGATAAGAGAGCACTAAATGTGGTATAAAGTTACTTTACAGCATACTAGTTAATGTTAGTCTAGGAGTTCTCTGACTCTGGAGTCTCTAAAATTTTTCATGGATAGCACTAAAATCCAAACTGATTGACAAACACTACAACAAAATAATCACATGTAAAGCTTTCTTTCCGAGATACCACTAACTAGAAAACCCATAAAAAGTGGTATTTGTGCTGTGTTGCATATGTTGGCCGTCTTGAATTTTATTCTATCTAAACTGCTGGACAAATGAAACGGAACAAGGAAATTTTCAGTTTAACTTAGAATTCCAATATTACGCGACCCAAAGAAAAAATCAATGAGCGGTTTGCGTAATTTAAAAGATAATTCCGCAAACCGCTCATTGATATCTTTTTTAGTTCGCGTATTATTGGAATTTAAAGCTAACCTAAACATTCGCTTGTTCCGTTTCATTTGTCCAGCAGTTTATATGCAGTTTTTCGCACAGACTAAGTTCTTATTTCTCAGAATAATTCTACATGGGTGTAAACTAGCATCGATGCGGGATTTGACTTGTAAAAACTTGAAATGTCTTTTACTGACCCCAGGCACAAGTGGTGAGACAACAGATGTCTACACAGCATCCCAGTTGAATGGACTTTCGGAACTGATGAAGCTGCTACCAACTTTGCTTCAATTCCCCCCATCATGGTAAACATGTTGTGTGGAGTTTAATAATTCGATGTTCGGCAAAGGCAACTAGAAGAAAACAAACTAGTGTTGGAATATTTTCTTGCTTTTTCGATGTTTTCTGTTCGTTCCTAATTTAAATTACGACGTGTTTTGTGTCGAAAAGTGGAAAATAATCAAGGGAAAGCTTTTATTGTGATTCTGTGAGGTGCTTTATCATCAAAGTTCCAGCACAACACAAACTGCTGTGTATACGAATGCCATTCCCGAAAAGATTCAGACAGAATTATTCATTTTTACTATTTTCCTAAGAAAAATAGTGATCGCGTGAAAATTTTGAATGTACTGGGACAAGAAGAGGTATAGATCGGAGAAAAACTGTGGCCAAACTTAAAGACGGGCCTCCATTTTCCACATTTCGTGTTGTATGGATACGAAATCCACAAAAGAAAGTCACAACGTTCTAAATTTAAAAAATATAGTAAAAAACAACCGAAAAAACTACGAGAAAATTAGCGAAAGAAATACGAATGCATATAAATACAATGCTGAACGTCAAAATATTACTTGTTTCCCGCCATATTTATTTACAAATGCCAGCGCCCTCATCGGTAGTCGAAATCGCCAATATACTAGCAGTTTGAAAAAGTCCATGGAGACTACAATGATGAAGACGCAGGTATGAGACTTTTGGTTCCTGTAGGTACTCCATTTAGGAGCAAAGTGCATCCTTGTGCGTAGGTACTGTAGACACAGATGTGATTCTCATAATTGCTACCACATTCTATGAAATGTTCCTGCAAATGAGACCGCCGAAACTGCAAATCAAGGTTAACAGATATTGTGTTGAGTTATACTTTGTCTGCCATTTTCGATTTTACTACTGTACATGAAAATTTTCAAATATTGAAAGACACCTCCAAGCCACCTCACTGCATCTAAAGGCTTGCTGACCCTAGGTCAGGTAATTTATTTTCTCTAGCAACTTATTACCGGTTCTTGAAGCACATCAACAGACTCCTCAATTTGACTAATAAAACTAGAAGTGTTTGTATTTGAATCATTTAACTCATTCGTTTCGCATGTTCTCCTCCATTTCCTGTTCAATCTAGAAATTTCCCTAATGTTTGTGTTTTCTTCTTCAAATCTTGGCGTTGCTTCATCTATGCTTATGTCTTCACAAAACCAACCAAACTCTGTGTCGTACGGGTGATCTTTGTAGGTACCATCAACGTTGTAGTAACGCATTTCGGATTGTCCTAGAGGTGATCCTGAAACAATACCTAGTTCAATTTATGTTGGTTGATTGAAAAACATTAATATATGTTTCAAAATTTGTATTTTTCGAGTTTTTCACTATTAATTAAACGGATAAAGAATCCACTTCTAAATAACATTTAGGGAGCAGTATTAAATAATCTGATTTGCATTAAAAGCATATTATTTGTTATTGGTATGATGGTTGAAAGGGAAGGTAACAAAAGCGGGCATATACAGTTTCGTCCGCCCTAATCACTTAATGGTCAAATCCCAAGAAACTCTGTACCTGAAAACTTAGTTTCGTCTGCTGCTTATTTTTGGGTACTTATATACACTTTCGTCTGGCTTACCTGATTTGCTAAAACTAATTTACACAATAATTTACATCAAATGGCTTGGCAAAAAAAAATTTATTAGCATAATATAATATAATAATAATACCTTTATACACTCTCCTGAAAATTGATAACATAAATACCTATACCTACTTTGTTTCACCAGGGTTCATACTTTTTACATAATTTGCCTCCTTTTTTAACAAATAGAAATTGACTGAAACAAATCAATGACGTCAAAAATGTTCGTCGGTTCTTAAACCAGAAGTCATTCATTTTAATTTGTCAAAAAAATTGAATGTGTCATATGAGTTAATCTACGACAACCCTTTTTTTCAAGTTTCAAAGTCAAGTATAAACCCTGATGAAACGATCTGTAGGTGTTTTAGAAACTATAATAGTGCGAAGTTAATTTAACATATTGCACCATATATATTTCATTACTATTAAGTTTTATAATATTTCATTCAATAAAGTTTTCACGTTTCTTTCTTTTACTGTTTAAGACTTTGGAACAATTTACACTTTGTATCTGAACATATATTTCACATTTGGTAAGTACTGTTTAATAGTTTCCAAAAATACAACTATGTTGGGATCAGTAAAATTTCAACATTTATTTAAATGTGAGTGGAACGATTCACATGCATTTGTTATTCTCCGATTGGAAGATCATTTCGCTGCCCATATGTTGGGTGGGAATGGGGCATCATCTTCAATATAATTTTGCATAAGATAGTCGGCAAACATTTCCAACTGTTGGTTGTTACTAACCACAAATAGACCTCATCTCATTTTGCTCGAAAGCGAAGCATGACCCCACGCTTTCCGGATCTGAAAGGATATATATCAATTAGATAAGAAGAAAATATAGAACGTAACGGACTTGTCAAAATTTCATCATAAAAAAAAGACAACATAAAATATTAACTAGAAAAAATATTACCTAGAAAAAGGAGTCCAAAGCAATATCCAATCCATTTTCCCCATTCTGTCCTCTCTTGAGAGGGGCTCTTAAATAAAATGTCATTTACAGACCTTCACAAATTTCTGTTCAATTCCAACTTTAGACCACTTTTCAGTGAAATGAAGTTACGTTCATAACAATAATAAATTGGAATATGGGTCGAAACATTTTTGGGTGCAAAATACGCAGTCTAAATAGTAAAATTATTACCAATTTTGTTGACAACAGTATGCAAATTTTGGTCACGGATTTAAGTGAAAAATGGATAAACACATAGAGTAGCACAGCAACAATAAATTTCCAAAATTTCGGATCATAAAATGCTGGAATAAATGAAAAGAACAGAATTTCCGAAAATTAATGATGTTTTTATTCTAAAATTAATCAAAATCTGCCAAATAAGGAGGTGATTGCTGTCATTTTCAGCAGAGAATCAAACCAAACGTGTGTTCAGAGGTTCTCTCAAAGATGTCGCTGAATTCGGGAAACATAGTCACTTCTTTCAAACGCTAGTAAAAACTGTTTTATCTAGCTAATAATGTGAAATACTATTATTTCATTTGCATCTGAAGAAAATTATTCAGTCCACTATATATTACTGTGTAAACGAATTGATATTGAAGATGTCGCCATCTAGGTACTTGTAAATAAGTCAATCACTTACAGGGAATTTGCACACCTGTGATTAAAAAATATTTAATGTATGTCATAAAGCCCAAAAGATGGCACGCTGGCTTTTATCTGACGCCGCTTTTAATAGTCTCTGGCTAATCCTAGCTCCTGTATTTATCTCCACCAAGCTTGACTGATATGGAATCGACAGCCTATAATTTTGGTACTATTCCAAACCTCTTTAACTGCCTTGTGGATTGATGCTTCAAAATCTATCACGACTTCTTACGGCTGAAACAGCAAATTGAATTCACTGCATTTATTCACAACATATGTTAAACAATTTCCATATGAGTTTGTTGCTTTGCTCTTTGATAGGCAAAATACAAGCGGAATGTAATATCCATTGTAGCTTCCGTGTACTGTGAAAAGTTGAAGGAAGTGTTTTGGTGCATATTTAAAAGTTCCGTCCATGAATATACGAGTACACGCGCACAAAAGTTTCAAATTGGTTTCGCATGAAAATATTATCATATTTGATTCCGAATTATTCACCAATAAAAAATCTTCTTGCCTATTAGTCGAAATAGGCGTAATCTTATCCAGGGCAAAATGTAAATCGGCACTAGATTTGGGCAGTGTAGGAAACTTTTTCCTTCTTTCACTATAAATACTACGTTTCACAGATTGTAAGTCTTTCACTGTTAAACAGTCACTCTGATTGTCTTTGAGAATAGACTGGAGAATTCTTTTTGGTTGAAAACCTATATCTTCGGATGCTTTGCGTCATGCAGAATTTGCAACGAACTGTTTTTGTAACTGAGCTGCAGTTAATTCAGCATGACAATGAGTCAGGTTACAATTTGATTCCACGTACTCTTCGCCAACAGTATACAGAGCAGCTTTACAATTCGGAGCTCTGCACCTCCACTTCACTTCACCACTTAACAATTTATCCGCAAAATTAAATTTGAAATTATTTATTATTAAAGATACTTTTCTACGCTCAGACACACTTTTCTGGATGTTTATATTTTCCATGGTTTAAAACACGCTTACAACTGGAACTGAATGACACAAATGAAACAAACCACCTGTGAACTAATAATAGTTATTTATGTATCAAGGGGATTATGAGGGTGTTAATACCCCAGGGCAAAGTTTGTGTCCCGAGGGCCTTTGGCCCGAGAGTTACCAATTGCCCGTGGGTATTAACACCTGATAATTCCCGTGGTATATAGATAATTTGATTTCCTACTGAATTTACTGTATTTTGTCCATTTTTATAAAGGAATAAACCATAAACCAAAATTTCTATTTTTTCTCAAAGTTTTACCTATTCAAGGTAAAAGCGGGAGTTATAGAAATCCTTAACTCCCTTGGGAGTTATGATATCCTTAACTCCCGCGCGGGAGTTATGAAATCCTTAACTCCCTTGGGAGTTAAGACCCTGTTTATGATTATCGCAACCAAGGTATTATATGGTTATAATAGTTCAGTAGAAAATAAATATTTTTAACTATTATCATTATCATAAACATTTTTACCTGCGTAACCCCCGGACGAAAGTGTATAACATAATTTATGCAAAAACGGATTACGGACGAAACTGTAATCGCCGACTAAAGCCGGTATAGGGGATTAAACTATAATAAAATCAAAGAATAGACCCATGAATGGAAATAAGAAATCTAAGAACCAATAATAGTTATCAGGTAGGTATATTTAACACGAAGGTATGTCTTATTTAGGAATGGAATTGAAAATCTTGAACTTTCTTATGAAATAAGATAAAAGAACCATGGAATTAACATCAGTACGGCCACAAAAATTTACAAATTAATCTGTACACCTCTTCTAGAATACGGACACAATCCTTCTTAATCTTAGACCACCAACTCAAAAACACATGAAAACAGCAGAAACTTCAGTAACCAGAAAGCGTCATCCTCAAAACTCACTGTTCAATCCAAGAAATGAACAGCTCTGCTCTATCAGAGGACAGGAATCGAACCAATCCAATTGAGTCTAGAGACTTCAGCAGCTCAGAAAGAAATTTGTTCCAGGACCTCATAATATGGAGATCCTAGAGCAACTATGTAGAACAAGAAAGAATAGGATCTCCAGGCACAGATTCCCCATACTCACGACAGTAATTGAGAAGCTTCAACTGTTATAAAACCCCATTTAATTTAAATATGATTATGATTTTTGCTATTTTTTTTTTCTTCTAATTCCTTTGGTTTTTTTTACACAAAAAAGTAATATTCACTTTGTTATACAACATATTGTTAATGTTTTATATATGCCATTGTAAAATTTACCTTAGCTGAAGGAATTCGGACGTTGGCCTTTTGGGAAACCAATAAAGTTTATAATAATAATAAGGCGTCTGTCCAATGGATTTACTTCTCACGTTATCAGAAAGGCCGTGGACTTTTAAGTTTGAAGTGTCTGCATAGACGGTTGGTCCTCCAAATAGTTTTCGACAACAGCCGGCGGCAGGAAAACTCTATTACAGAGTTTACCAGCCAAAGACTTAAAACCACCTTGAAAAATGCAGAGGCAGACTATTTATTACGTCTACATATAGATAAGCCATGCACAGTGTTTTCTTTAAAACCATTGAAAACACTGGCTTATCCAAAAAGCTAAGCTTTGTATTCTTGTGTTCTAGTGCATTAAGTCGGAAACTAAGGGGTTTATCATTGCTTGCCAAGATGGAGACGTCAACACTTTGGAGCACTGGAGTCGCGTGATGGGTATACAGGTTCCTGACACATGTTGTAGGGCCTGCCATATGGCGCCGGAGACCTTATATCATTTGCTGTCTGCTTACCGACGGTATTTGGTCTCGGCGTATATCCATCGACATAACGCGGCGTTACGGGTGCTGTATAACCACCTAAGGCACTCGTACGGTATTGATGACGCTCCAGTGCTGCCATATGTCCCCTCTGATGTTCCGTCCGTAGTGAAGAATGACAGAGCCAGAATATACTGGAATTTCGCATTCCTCGCCCTCCGGCTTGTGAGAGCTAACAAGCCGGATATAGTACTCTTGACAAAAATGACAATGACATTGATATTGAGTTCT